GTATATATGTCTTATGCCCTCTGGTAGGTCAGCTCCCTCAGTTCTGATCATCTTGCCCTCTTTGGTACCATCCGGCCACACTTGTCTTATCTGAATGACATCCCTATGTCCTTGCTGTAGATCCTGGTGGTGTAAATCAGTGATTTGTTTTCTCGCTCATTCTTGGCATACAGCTTGATGTCGTCCATGTAGAGCAGGTTGCGGATTGTTACTTCACTTCAGAATTGATATCCATATGCAGTCTTCTTGATGATCTGACTGAGTGGATTCAGGCCTATGCAGAACAGCAGTGGTGACAGTGCATCCCCTTGGTATATGCCACATTTGATGTTGACTTGGGCAATCGGCTTTGAGTTGGCCTCTAGGGTTGTCTACCACATTCCCATGGAGTTCTTTATGAAGGCTGTTAGTGTCCTGTTGATCTTGTATACTTCCAGACATTCCAGTATCCATGTGTGTGGCATTGAGTCATAGACTTTCCTTCTTGTTGTCAATCCAGGCAGTGCACAGGTTGGTCAGGTTGGCTGGTCAGCAGCTGGTTCATCTGTGCTGCTAGGCATTCATGGAGTGCACTTGACCTTTTCAGCCAGTATGTATGGATCATATCAGGGCCCGGTGCTGTCCAGCTCTTCATCTTTGACACTCTTTCCTGGATGTCCGCCACTGAGATGGCAACTGATTCTTGCTCAGGGAGGTTGCTGTGGCCAGCTCTTAGGTCCATTTGCCATTGGGCATTGGTATTGTGTGATGCTTCTCTTTCCCATATGCCCTTCCAGTATGTTTCCATCTCAGCTCTTGGTGGGTCTGACCTGCTGTTATTTCTGTGCCACTGAGAGAACACCTTGGCTGATTGAGTTGAGAACATCCTACTTATTCTCCGGGCTTCATCTGTGTGGCCAGAGCTGTTAGTCTTTGTTTGGCAGTACTGAGTGCCTTGGGAATGGAGAGCTTGTTGTATTTCCTTGGTACCCCTTTAGTCACCATGTTACCACAGTGTAGCTCAGCTAGTTGGCTAACTACTCTCCGTGTTGCCTTTATCTTGACCTGCAACCGTCTCTTCCATGGAGGGTACTAGTTCTTATGTACCATGTCCATCTTTTATCCAAGCATCTCAAGGATTACTGTTGCTGTACTGTGAATCAGCTTGTTGGTCTCGGTGATGGTACTTGTAGGGATGGTATTTAGGGCAGCATTCACATCTTCTAGCAGATCATCTGAGGCTACTTGGCAACTCAGCTTCGGGATTCTTCGGAGGCTCCAGTTTTCTAGTTTGCTCACAATCTTCCTTCTCAGGTCAGCTGCTCTTTAATTGATGCTGTTTGTATCTACTGGGGTTTGGTACCCAATCTGACATCCCCCGCTGACCTGGCATCCTGGCTCCCCTTACCGTAGCACTGTTGTAGTATTTCATTGATCTTTGGTTGTGATAGTAGTTGGTGGTTACGGATGTTGGAACGCTGTGCTACCAGATGTTCCTTAGTTAGTTTTAATTGCGGGTTTCGAAGTATCCATAGGTCCCACATTCTCTGTGTATATCCTCTCTCTGGGATTGCTGGTATAGTAGTATTCCATCAATTCTGTGTTTTCCGCCCTTGTCCATGTATGTCTTGTTCCAGTAACCCATTTGCCATATATATA